GGGCTACTCAAATATTTTACGTTTTTGATACTAAATTAACATCTGAAGTATAATTTTTTATTGTTTTTATATTTTTCAATAAATTTGTTTTGTTTGTACAAAATAAAAAAATAATTTTTAACGATACAATAGTCTTCGTTAGGCTTAACATCGACGAAAATTCAACACGAAGCGACACGCAACGGAGAGAAATTTCAACATGGGATAAATTAATATATTTTTTCATACATGATTCGTTATCTGAAAAATAAGTTATCCGAACCACCCCAGTCCCCAATTGATTCGGATAAACGACGCTCTACTGTAATTTGTATTAAATTTACCAATATTGAGTGGCGCTGACAATGACGCCAAACGGTAGATATTGGAGCTACCATGGAAAAAACCAATATTGAGCACTTAAAGACCACTAAATAAGACAACAACACAGAAACACAGATGTTTTCATGTTTTGTTCTCTAGGATTTATAATGATTATATTAATATTTACTGTAAATGTACATATTTTAATATGATTTTATATGCTTTAACGCTTTTCTAGTGATATTTTATTCAACTTTAGGTCCGTCTGCTACAAATACTGAAGTCATAATGACTTAAACTTGACTTTTATTTTTCCATATATTTTTTGACAAACGATGTATAATCGAGAACGACGTAACTTGAGGTATACTTGTATAAATTTAAAAAAAGTTATGTTCCATTTAAAAACTTTGACTTTGTCTGGATAACCTATTTCCAGCCAGTACAGAAGTTGAAAATATCACCACTCAATAGTGTGTATTTGATTTACTTATCAAAATTTCTATGATTTTTGATGAAACTTGCTTCCCTTCATTTTGAAAAGGGTATACAGGTGATCTGTCACTCTATATATTCAAATTGTTTTTCCACACCTTTGCAAATTAAACTATGAAATTATACTAATATGATTGATATTTTTAGGTACTTTATACCCAAGAAGCTGTTGAGGATTTAGATAAATGGAGTAGTAAACAAGTACCATTAACATGGTCAGCAGAGCTGATTGGTCTTGAAAGCCATGCAGTTTATGCTGTACGTGTTGCTGCAGTTACTCAGATTGGACTGGGACGTCTGTCAGAACTCATTACAGTTCGTGTATCACCAACTGGTAAAAACTGTTTGATTTTAAGTAGCAACTTTTAAATTTATTTTTAATGCCAAAATATTAAACTGATATCATTAATAGTTATAAAAACAAGATTGATAATAATTTAAGTTTACAAATAACAATAGTATTAAAAGAAGAATAAAAAATTCATAAAAGTGAAAGAAAGATTTCTATATTTTTTTACTAGATGTTCCAACTCAACTACGTGCTCAAGGTGTAACAACTCACACAATGACTCTGTCATGGAGAAGACCTACAAAATTAGATCCTATTAAATATCAGGTGATATATATATATATATATATTTATTTATTTATTATTTTTATCTTTTTCTTAAAATTTATATTCTTGAAATGTGATAAAAATTTAGATTAAAAGCTATTATACATTTGGAACATACATCTATAACAGTTAAATTTAAGGACTTATTGCACCATTTTTTGGAAAGTATTTAAAAAGAAAACAAGGAAACAATCTGTTTTGCTTTTATCTATTTATTTATTTTTTTAATCTCAAGAAGAAAGTAGTCAGAATGGTGGGAAAATTGTGAAATTGTGAGAGGGTATTGAAAAAGTGCTTAAACTTTGTTTAGCTTGTATTAAAGAAAACTCACTGAGGAAGGAAATATTGTAATTTTTGAAATCTGGGTGAAATAAAGTTGTTAATTGGCTAGTATTTTTGGAGTCTGTGGATATGATAATTTCTAGAAAATAACAGTATTTGAACTGATTACATATTGAGAAGAGACCAATGTTTGCCATGCTACTTTTATTTGATTAAAGATGCCTATCAGATTATTATCTCTCTCTCCATTTTAATCTTGTTTGTAAAACATGGAATTCATTTCTTTCAGATTTACAGTTTTTAAGTTAATACAGTTTATAATATTTGTAATATTATATTTTATGTAAAAAATAATATAATTGTAATGCCTTTTTTAAAATATAGTAATGTAAAACCTGTAAACCTGAAAGAAATGAATGCAGTGTTTTACAAACAAAATTAAAATGAAGATAATAGTCCAAAATGCATTTTTAATCAAATAAAAGTAACATGACAAACATTGGTCTCTTGTTTTTTACTTACCACACCATGTTTTGAAAAATGTTTAAGTCCTTAAATTTAACTGTTAAAGATGTGATAAAAAGTTAAACCAAATAGTAAGGACAAGAAGAAATTTCTTTGTAGCTTTTACATTGTTTTACTTGTTTTTGATTCATCAATTGCTTTTACTCTTGTTATAATCCAAATAAAATAAATCAAATATTATTTTGTAAAAATTAATTTTTCTGTATAGTATTTATTATATTTAGCAATAATATTTAAAATATTGTATTGGCATTTTAAAGTTTATTTTCCAGTTGTTTGCTTTAAAAGCTATATTTTAATCCATATATCAATTAATTTTAAAAATTCTTGCATTTTCTTAAAATGTTCTTGTGTGTAGCAGTACTCCAATTTAATGTTTTGAATTTCAGATTATTGTATTTGCTTCTCTTTTTTTCTTAACTATTTAAAAGGCTTAAAAATTAATTTACACAATTTTTTTTTATAATAATTTAACTTATTTTGCTTTTGTATAAAAAAAAATGTGGAACAACATTCAATGTTATCTAAATAAAAGGCTTTGACACCATCTAATTAAATAACTAATATTATATGACTATATATCTTTTTTTATTAACTTATTTTTTCCAGATAAAAAGAGAACTATATTTCTGGTTAAATAAAATCAATCCTCATTACCATTTACAGCATAAATTTATAAATTTGACTGTTAATATTTTCCAGATTTCTTATGGTGCTCATAAAGAATTTTTTGATAGTCGTGGAACTTTGCAACAATTACCAATTCCACCTGAAGTTATTGCTGTAGATAATGATGTTACAGAATTTACCATAAAAACATTAATGCCATTTACTAGTTATGAAGTTAATATTACTGCCATTCCTGCAGATGAAAGTTTCAGACCGGCTGCTAAAATTACTGTTACAACTTCAATGGCTGGTATGTATTCAACTTTTATTAACTCTCAAGATGTCAATACAAATTAATTTTTAAAATAAACAATATAAATACCTTTAAATTGCAATTAAAAAAAAAATATATATATATATATATATTTTTACACATATATATACACACACATCATATTGGCCTGAATATTAGTGAATGTTTTTTACCAGTTTTAAAAGGACAAAAAGTTGCTCTTGACCTATATCAGTGCCTCAATTTACATTCAAGTCCAATTAAAGTTTTTCAATTATGACTGTTTGTGGTACTGTACATGTATAGACTTAAACTGGTGCTAAAATTTGGTGTGTTGATTGTTTAGCAATGCTAAAAGTCAGCCAAGTTGTGACCTGTTATGCTGCAGCCCACAAAATATTTGCAGGAATTAAGTATTTGGCACAATTATAAATAATTGATTTATCAATTGTTTTTGAACAGTCAGCTAAACTAAACTGATTGTTTTTATCGTATTAAACAGAATTAGTCAGTTTGGTAATTTCTACAGAACTTTTATTTCAGCAACTTTTTTATTTTAATCCTAGGAGTGTTTACTAATTGAGCAATTGTCTAAAATTAGGAAAGGGTTGCTGAAAATTTACAATGAAATTTATTCTGTTGTAAAGTGTAAATTTAACTGAATAAGCATAAATTTCTATTGTAATTTTAAATATATTTTCATATTGAATACATAAATTTATGACTTTATAAAAAAAAGATAAGCAAAAACAAAATTTTGGTTGTGTTTTGATAATCATAAAACTGCAAGTTTACTTTCCACATGAAACAAACATGAAATATTCAAGAAAGCCAAGGAAGCTTATCTGGTGCATAGGAGATTATGCTGATTTTGCTCATTAAATTTTATTAATTTAATTTTTATAGATATCAACAAAAAAGAAATAATAATTTAGAGTTTGTCACTTATAATGTAAGTGTTTAATACATATACAGGGTTATTCAAAAGTCACAGAAATTTTAAAAAATTAATAACTCACAAAATATTTACAGTAAAATGATGCAGTTTTCACAGAAATGCTTAGAAAAAAGTAGGATTTTTTTAGGTGTAATAAAAATTTTAGTACCAAAATAGTTACCTTTCTTGCTGTAGATGGTGCTTGATAAGATTACATAATTTGTGTAGTTGTTACTAGAGCTTACACTAAGAACATTTTTGTTTTTTATTTTTATTTTAATAAATTTACAAATGCTTTGTTTCCTACAGTGCCATCTAGGGCAAGAAATGTAACTATTTTGGTACTAAAATTTTTATTAAACCTAAAAAAAATCCCATCTCTTTCTAAGCATTTCTGTGAAAACCGCATCATCTTACTGTAAATAGTTTGTGAGTTATTAATTTTTTAAAATTTCTGTGACTTTTAGATCACCCTGTATTTCTTTCTATAAAACAAACCCTTTGAGTACAATTTTCTAATCAGTTTTTCTAATCACTTTAAATGCTTTATAAAAATTACTAAGAATGTAATCAAAAATTTATTTATGCCCATTGATTCCCAGATACTTTTACCAAATTCAAAAGAAATTATATTTCTAACTAATTTTGAAAGAAAGAAATATAATTGAACACTACTAATTCTCATAATCAAGTGCATGAATAAAAATTAATAAAAATTTCTCATACTATTGTAAAAGTTTGAACAACAGTAGAATTATAAAAGGTTGTTGGTGAAGACACAATTATAAAGGGCTTTAAGAAATGTAATGTTACCAACAAATTGGACAAAACATAGGATGATGTATCGTTCAAGGAGGCAATGAAATATTGAAATGATACTTTTCATTATTGTCATTCCTGTTTTCTAACTTTCCAAATTTTTTAATGCAAATTACTAATTCTTTGTACAAATAAGTTTAAGTTTAATTTAATAAGCAGTAAAAAAACCACAAAGCTAATGCTTTCATTTTGCCTAATGATCTGAGATCATTATTGATATTGTCATATTAGTGATTATAATGTTACTTTCTCTTAAATAAAAACAATATCAAATTTTAGTCAGCAAAAACTTAAGAGAATAATGTGATTTTAATGTATCTTGAATATCAGCAGCAATACATATACTAGAAAGATATCTATCATATTAAACATACTAATTGATGATAAATACTTCTGATTGAAATATAGTGGAGAATCATTAAGTGGATTAACTGTAACTTTTGTCTAAATGTTCTCATAACTTTTGTGTCAGTTTTAAATTATCTATTAAATTATATTAGATCTGAGACCAAAACCTTTCCATTTTCAGATGCCTTAATTGGCATCTGAAAATTGAAAGGTTTTGGTCTCATATCTAATCTAAATTAAGATGATTCAATTTTCAGATGCCAATTAAGGCATCTGAAAATTGAATCATCTTAATTGATGAGTGAAAAATGAAACTCAAAGTTTGTTTTAAAGTTGAATTGAGATAACACTCCTTTATAGTCTATTGAAAACATGTCATTTTCTTTCACATCATTTAATATAGAAAGATGATTTGTGTAATTTAGGTCTAATGCTTGTTAAACACTCATAGTATAAGTTCAGAGTATAAAATTTGTAATCATTTCAAAATTTTATTAAAAGTACTCTGGAAATCAAGTAATAACAATTAATTTTATTTCTAAATAGCGGATCCATAAAATAATTGGCATCAAATATCACAAGATACTTGACAAAATAAGAAAATCGTATTTTTTTACCACGGTGTTAATTCAAGAGAACCTTACAAGATCCTGTTTCTTTAAATTAGAAACATTCCCCTTAAGAAGATTTGCACTTTTTTCACATCACTGAATCTTCTGAACTTTTTATCTTCAAACAAATTTTTTGAACTTTTTTTTTAAAAGTTTAGATAATTTTTCTTAAGGAATAGCATTTTAATTTGACAAATTAGAAACTAAATTTATTATTTATTCTTGTAATTTAAATTAAATATCAATATAAAAGAATAAAAAATTTATTTTAAGCACCAAAACCTATGGTGAAACCTGATTCTTTTGGAGTTGTAAATCTCAAAGAAATCAAAGTTATATTGCCTCAAGCTTCTGAAGAATATGGTCCCATTAGTCATTATTATCTGGCTGTAGTTCCTTTGGAATATGTTACTAAAGATCCTGATCATTATACTATAGATGAGGTGAAAGTTTTTACATTTTATATTATTATGATATCTTTGTTGTAAAAATGATTATAATTATATATAAAAAATATTAACTAGTATTATCTATTAGTTTGATTTCCCACAAGACTAAAGAATTAAGAATATAAAATTCTATTTTTCAGTTGACAGAAACTCCCCTGGATCAGTCTGGTCCATATATTGCAGCAAAATTTTTACGTCATAATATGCCCAAAGAATTTATTTTGGGTGATGGAAAAGAATATATGGGATTTGTTAATAGACTTTTGTTATTAAGAGAAGAGTATAAAATATTTGTGCGTGCTGTAGTTGATACACCACAAAAAGTTAGTCTTAAATAAATTATTTATATATTATAATTTCAAAATAATGAAATTTGTTATTTATTTTCAGAGTTTATATACTAGTAGTCCATTTTCTGATATTCTTAGTTTGAATATGTCACCAACATCAGGTAGAGCCCCAGCTTCAGACTCAAGCTCTCCTGATACACCTGATGTATCTCATATTGGTTACAGTACAAGTGAGGCTGGAATTATTTGGATTATAGGACCAATTATTGCAATAATTTTGATTACATTTTGTATTGTTGTTTTGATTATTATTAGAAGGTTGGTTCACATAGAAAATTTTAAAATGTAATTTATAATAGTTGAATTTCTTTTTTATTTTACATTGTTATTTTTTTTTCTTTTCTTTTGTTTTTACTTAAAATTAATATTTATATAGAATTTTACTTTACTCAAAGTTATTCTTTTGAAAATAAATCATTATTCACTAGTGATTCAATAATTTTCAAAACAGATTAAATAGTATTTTTATATTTTATTTTATTAGAATAAGAACATATAAATGAATTCTTTCTTTGTTTTATTTTCAAATAAATGTTGTTATTTTTATTTCTGTAGTTTTTGTTAGATATATTGTATAAGTGCATTGTTACAGGAATTTCCCTGCCTTCTCTAGACGACGACAATTAGCGAAAATGCCGGGAGGTGAAACAACTATGAAACTTTTAATGAATACTACAGAAAGAGATGTTACTTCACATCCAACTGATCCAGTAGAAATGCGAAGACTAAATTATCAAACACCTGGAATGATTAATCATCCACCCATTCCTATTACTGAGTTATCAAATCATATTGAGAGGTTAAAAGCTAATGATAATATGAAATTTTCACAAGAATATGAGGTAAACAAATTATAATTTTTTTGTGTTTTTGTATGTCAAAACAAAGAATTTGCGTATATATTTTTGTATGTAGATATGGAGAAAGACAAAGAAATAAAAATTTATTTTAAAATGTCCAAGTCCAAATTAATTGTTTGCATGGCTGCATTTCTCATATTATTGAAGGTCCATAATATAGAAACATTTTTTTATGAAACAATTTTATTATTATTCTAATCTTAGAATAGTGGTGCCCAAACTTTTCAATTGGCAGGTCAAATTGTGCATAAGTTAAAAAAAAAAAAGCAAGCCACAAATATTTTATAAATTCCATACATATATAAAATATAATAATAGCCCCATTTCTATAATTTGTGGGCCAGATTTGGTCCAGGAACTGGAGTTTTGGCACCATTATCTTAGAACATTAGAAATATCATCTCCATTAAAGACAAATGCTATTAAATTTTGATCAGTCATTAGCATTATCTACTGTAAATGCTAATAGCTAATAGTATCATTAACAATTTAATAAACTATTATTATTAAAAATACATAATACTGTTCACTTAATTGAAACTGCTTAGTTTTCTTCTTAGTGTCAATAAATCTTAGCCAGAATTGCTTTATTAGATGTTGCAGTATGCAAAAAAATAAATATTTTAAAAATGATCTTCAGAAGATCACAACTTTATTATTATTTAGTGACTAAAATATTCATTAAATAATTTTAGTCATCATATTAAGTTACAATAATAAGGATTATTATTATTATTGTGTGTGTGTATAACATGTTTAAAAATGACTTTTTTTTTTATATTTAGTCTATTGAACCTGGTCAACAGTTTACATGGGAAAATTCAAATTTTGAAGTCAATAAACCCAAGAATCGTTATGCTAATGTTATTGCCTATGATCATAGTAGAGTAGTATTACAACCATTAGATAATGTTCAAGGTTCTGATTATTTAAATGCTAATTATTGTGATGGATATAGAAAACAAAATGCTTATATTGCTACTCAAGGTCCTTTGCCAGAAACTTTTGGAGATTTTTGGAGAATGGTTTGGGAACAACATAGTGCAACAATTGTTATGATGACAAAGTTAGAAGAAAGAACAAGGATAAAGGTAAAATAATATATGGAATGTTATAAAAATTATATTGTTAATAATATTTTATATATATAATTATTTCGTAATCAGTATTAAAACTTTCAAAATTAGATAAATGATTTATTAAGAAATGTAATCAAATATTTTTAAATAAAAAAATTTGTAATAGTAAAGAATGAAATATATGCATTAATGAATTTTATTCTATTAGGTCTTTTAAAGTTTAATTATAAATCTTTGTTTAAATAAATTATCAAAAAATATATATAAACTTTAGAATAATTTTTTAGTGTGATCAGTATTGGCCAACACGTGGAACTGAAACATATGGAGTTATTCAAGTCACCCACATTGACATTCAGGAAGTTGCTACATATTGTATTCGAACGTTTCATTTACAAAGGGTAAATTGATGTTGCAATATTTTAAGTTTTAAAATATAATAAAATTAGTAAGTAATGCTTTAATTTATATAATTTTCAATTTTGATTATAAAGATAGGCTACCCAACTGAGAAAAGAGAAGTTCGCCAGTTTCAGTTTACGGCGTGGCCTGATCATGGTGTTCCAGATCATCCAACACCATTTTTAATGTTTTTACGAAGAGTAAGAGTAATGAATCCAGCTGATGCTGGGCCAATGGTTGTACATTGTAGGTTAGTACAAAATTAATTTTATTTTAAAATTAATCAGATCTAATAATACTAATAATAAGTTTTTAATGTGTGAATGTAGTGCTGGAGTTGGAAGAACAGGCTGTTTCATTGTCATTGATTCAATGCTAGAAAGGTTAAAACATGAAAATACTGTAGATATATATGGACATGTAACATGTTTAAGAGCACAACGTAATTATATGGTTCAGACTGAAGATCAATATATTTTTATTCATGATGCTGTACTTGAAGCTGTGATAGCAGGAAATACAGAAATTCCTGCAGGAAATTTATATGGACATATACAACATTTATTACAGATTATTCCAGGTGATACATGTACAGGAATGGAAACAGAATTTAAGGTATATTTTATCAGATTTGAATTTTTTATACCATATTTTCTCATTCAAACCTTAGTATTTGAATAAACCCTGGGTTCTAAAGCATAGGAAACAAATTGAAGTACTCACTATAAATAAAGAATCTTCAAATACCAGATTAAAATACAAATATAATCCTTCATCAAACTCTTTAACCGGTATTAAACAAGAGTAAAACTACATGCAAACGTTTTTGGATCCCTCCCTGGGTCCTTTCTCAAGCAACTATTCTTCTTTAAAATTCGTTAGAATGAAGACCAGTAGAAAGAACTTCTTCAAAACTGCGATATTCGAAAAAATTACTTCTTCCGAACCACATTTCAAAAGTCGAAATTCAAAAATCAATGTGAATCACATGCATTCCAGTATTCCGAAATGTGATGCTCGTCTTTCTTAAAAAGGTTTTTTATGGATTTTTACATTAACGAAAAATAAATAAATAAAGAATTCTATTTGTTCCAAACAAATGGAAATTTGCAAAGCTTACAACACTTCTGCACCTATTAACTCGAGGGATGAGATTACCCTGTCCCTAGCATGGCAGGCCCTACTCCAGAAAGAGGATTCACATTAATAAATACGTATAGTAAATAGGGTATTAAAACATCATACTTGCTGAGATGCTATTATTTATTTTCTTTATTTATTTATTTTTTGTTAATGTAAAAATCCATAAAAAACCTTTTTAAGAAAAACGAGCATCACATTTCGGAATACTGGAATGCACGTGATTCACATTGATTTTTGAATTTCGACTTTTGAAATGTGGTTCGGAAGAAGTAATTTTTTCGAATATCGCAGTTTTGAAGAAGTTCTTTCTACTGGTCTTCATTCTAACGAATTTTAAAGAAGAATAGTTGCTTGAGAAAGGACCCAGGGAGGGATCCGAAAACGTTTGCATGTAATTTTACT